ATAAATTAAAAAGCTGCACCGACAGAACTTGCCAATCTTGAATAGGTAGTGTTGGTCGACATTAGCTTACGATAGGATAAAAGTTCTGATATATATGGCGAGTTTTATTGTGTTCGTCGATAAATAACTTTAAATTGCGGGCGTTCAGGCTGGGGGCCAAGAAAAGTTGCCATAATTACTTTCCGGTAACGTTTGGGACTAAACTAGGTTGGCAGAATGGTTTAAATGAACAATCCTCAATAGTACTTTATTCTAGAAGTTTCGTGGTTCATTCACAAGTGATACAAGGGATGATAGAGCAGTAAAAAAAATCGCTTAAATTATGTCCATAAAGAAGCACAAAGTATTAACAATCAACCAACAAATGTCAGGTAAGCTATTATGCACTAAAGAGACTGTTGAACTAGCACACAGCAATAAGCTCTGGCCTTTGGGCAAGAGGAAAAAAACGAATAGATGGCCTGGAGCGCACTCGCTTCTCAGCACAGATAAACAAATAGATGCTGGCGACTTTTGACAGAATAAAAGGGTTTTATGGGGAACGTTCACGGTATGAGGCATTTAGTATGAGGGGTGTGTCATGAGGCAGCCCTTACAGAGCTAGTTCGAAAAATAGCATGCCTTAACATTAATTGCTATGCCTGTATGCGCAGAGTAGTCTCTGTGTCCAGTTTAATCAGACTTGGAAAGTCTAGGGAAGTGCAAAATCCTGAAATCAACAGCTGAACTTCATAATTCTGTGTGATCCTAAGATAGTTTGAAGTAAAATATTTAGATTAGAGACTGATGGTTCATTACATATACATATATAATGTGTATACGTATATATATATATATAATTAGTAATTTTTGTCATGCGCATTTTGTTGTTCAACCAGCCACATGAGTGGGTGCAATTAGTATATGGGGAAAGCGAGATCAATTACATTAATTTTACTAATGAGGCCAGTTAACGCAATTAATATCTTGCATTTTTACTTAGCTTTTTTTATTTCGATTTATTTATAACATTAAGTGATCATCAGATTAAGCGAAGGAGGCCAGAGTTTAGTTCGTCCCAACAAAAAAACAAAACGGCTAATTATATACAACTAATATGCATTAAACCAATAAACTTAGGCAATCCGGTGTAGCGAATCAACCACACTCTACTCAACACATAACCTCCAAACTCTGAACTTTTATCAATCTAAACGTCTCTTCATTTCATAGGCATCGACTATCATTACAGTTAGCCAAGGTGATAATATAACGCCTCAGCCTCACCTATAGGATCTCTCTTGCACAAACTGATCAAATAGACTTCACATTTTCAGTCTCCATGTCAAGGCTTGACTAGCTACTATCCACAGCCTGTGCTTTCTTCTACCATCAGATCTAACAAGTTCCGATTCCTTACCCAAACCAGTTTACGATGGTTGAGATAATGAAATGTAAGCTTGTAAGCATGTAAGTCAAGTTACGAAACCACTTGTCCTAACCTCTCAACCTATGATCATTAACGTTTAATCACCCAAGGAAAGACATGACTGAGGCTGCATGATCTCGTACGTCTGGTTTGGATGATGATCTTAATCTAACAGGTTGGGCGAGTATCAGTGAAATTAGAACCATTCCTGAGCGGATAAGTTGAATCGCTTTCTTTTGGATGGCGCCTCAACACCCTCCCTCTTCTTCAATCTATCAATCAAGCATAAATAGTTCCTGCTCATCTTTCTACTAACGTTTCTCACATCCAACATATTTCCTAATATATTAATGTTAATAGCCTCTTATCTTTTTTTAACAGTAGGCGTACCATAATCAGTAAACCTATTAGTTTAAGACCATTAAATCTCATGTCCAGTTTTGCCATGGGCTCGGCAACTTCGGACTGTTGGACACAGCTTCCTTTACAAGCCTTTTTGTGCTCCACCAATCTTTATCGAATATGTCAGCATGTTTCACCAACATAGGATTGACCACAAGAGCACACAATCTTGTAGCAGCCTGATCTCGATAATGGGTCATATTTATCTCTAAAAGATAGCATAACATAAAAATGTGTGAGGGTTTCTTTAAACTGTTTTTATCACATATTTTCTTACTAATTCGACTTTTTTTTAACAAAGAAGGCATGACGACAAAATTGATACATAAGAAAAGGTCTCAGCCTGTCCATCCTTGACAAAATAGTCTCCGTCTGAAAACTTACTTCTCAGTAAAGAGATATTATTCTCAATAAGGCCCAAATGATAATTATTTTCAAGGAATAAATTTGTCAGCCGCTCCTACTCTTTAGTCAAATGATTGCTATCCCCTAGCCTCATACTCTTAATAAGCATTGACTTTAAAATTCCAAACTTAGTTTCGTAACTATGGTTGGAAAGAAAATTAAGCAAAGAGCTAACATAGGTTGGCTTACTATAAACATATCCTCCTAATCTACCCTCTTCTCTAATGATGATAACATCCAGAAAAAGTAAGGACTTTTTATCTTCCATTTCCATCGTCAACCTAATGTTCTTTTTATGTTGGTTGAGTGAAAGTAGGAAATTATCTAAACTTTCCTTACCATGAGACCAGATGACAAAATAGTCATCCATGTATCTAACCAACAATTTGGGGTTAGTATTGCCTCTTTCAGGAATTCTTCCTCCAGTCTTGCCATATAATTGTTCGCCAAGATAGTAACAAGGGAAATCCCATTCCAAGTCCTTGTGTTTGTTCGTATAACTTACCATTAAAGGTAAAATAGGTCCCACTCATGAATAGATTAAGATGTCTAACTATGTACGCTACGCTCAGCTCTATTCGTTGCGTTTTCTCTAGGTGCTCCGCCAGAATTTGTACCAGAGCTTAAATAGCTCCTTGAACAGGAATGTTAGTGAACATAGACACAACATCAAAACTTATTGGCCTATCTTCTTCTCAAATTATTTGCTGATCATTTAATTTTACGAACTCGTAATAATTTTTAAATGAATATAGCCGAAATTGGCCATTTTTCTTAGTTGTTTGCATAAAAGACCTAGGGTTTTATGCATACGCTTCCTTAGGGAGACCGTAAGCCGTAGGGAGCCTTGCATTTTTCTGGATTAGTGAATTCATTTTCCACTCTTTTATTTTACCATTACTTACGCATACCTTAGGGGCATCATTTAGCCTAGTCTTAAATCCTTCAGTTGAATCTCTCATTAGAGCCATATACACTGCCATATGCACTGGCATTTTTTCTACCTAAATTGACCTATCCATGACTACCACTGCTCCACCTTTGTCAGCTTTCATAACGATCAGATTATTACCACATAAATATATAGAAATCCTACTAAGAGCGCAAGCTTTCTTCGCAGGAATTAGATGGTCAAAATGAGAGATCACCTCCAGTTCAACGGGATTCAGTCGTTCTCTTCTGGTGAAATCGACCCACAAATCTCTTCTTCATGCACTTTCATACGAAATGAAAGTCCTCCAAACAAACCAGTTTAATCACAGCACTCCAAGTAGAAGTCTGTCTACAGGCCTTACAAATTATTCATTCAAAAGAGGTCCAGACTAGGAATAGCTTATTTAATGGGAAACCGTAGAGCCACAACTCTGGGCCGAATTTTCGCTGCACACCCCAGAACCCCCGCCCAGCGCCACACCTATTAGAGCTACAAATAAATGGCACAGATAAATGGCATAGCCCCACATCTCGGCGAAACCCAACAGAAAATCTCCGTGTCACACTTCAGAAACACAGCTCAGCACTATACTTCAAAATCACTGCTTAGAGTCAAATCTAATAAACTTATAAACTCCACACTTTTGCGCTACACCTCAGCAAACTACCACAGCTCAGCATAGAAGCTAGAATACGACGCCACATTTCAGCCCCGCAACCCAACGCTACATTTCTTTATCACACCTTATTGCCATACCCTACCGCCACACTTAAACGCCATACCTCAATGCCACGTGTCAGCGCCACAACTCTACTTCACGAATCAATATGAAGAGAAAATAGGTCTTCGGTGAGACTAATTTCATTCGCTTATCCAGATAAAGAACATTAAAAATGTCACGGACCAATGCTAAAACCGAACGCAAAACCTTAATGACACATCTCAGCTCAACACAACACCACACAAAATTTCAGCTCCATATCCAAGAGTCATAAGGTGCCACTCTTTAATGCCAAATCTAAGCTCCGTACCTTAGGAAACCGCTGGAAAGTCACAACTGTGAGCTACACCTCAACACAGCTGGCACACCTTCGTGCCTCACTTCTTCCAGCCAACATTTTGGAGCATCATCTGAACCAATGGCCTGTGGTAACTCTCGACACTTGACCTTCCGAGGGCAAAGAAATTCATGCTCATACAGCGTTGAGTTCCAACGATACATCTCTGTCTATGGGACATTCTGTGCTACCTCCGCGTCTTCACTTCAACTGCCTTCAACGAGATGCTGTCGTAGATTCGATGAAAGAAGACGATTTCCTTGAGCCGATACTTTCGCTGGCAACCTCGGTGATTGACCTTCACGCCAAATCTCTACCCTCACTTCAGTGCTTCCTTCGCATCTACGCGCATCTATCGCAATTGCGTCTCAACCCAATCATAGCAATTTGAATATCATCCAGGCATTGGCACTATTTTTGCTAAAGAGTCTGACAATGTATTGGGTTTATCTTCTACTTGTTAAAAAGTGGCCTGACGGCGATAATAGAAATATTGCATGAGGAGACTAACCTGTTCTTTAAAATTACAAGAGGCGGAATAGTTAGCTAAAATATATCAGTGGAACTTTTAAAAAGAGAGGATGGATAAATTCTTTTGGTTGATCGTTTAACCGATGAGGGAGATGAAAAAAGTTTAAAATAATCCAACTTTACACAATCAAATAGA